CCGGCCTTGGCCCCAGTGCATGCTGAGGAAAATTGTCTCACGTGCCATTCTTGGCATGTGCGCTGGGGGTTGCTGACCCCTGGTCTAGATTCTGATTAACCATTAACTCTGAAGTCCACTGTTGCATCATCTAAAACATCCAGCATTATAACTTAGCAGAAATGAGCAGCCAGGAGAAGGACTACACAAATCTGAAATCCTACACACCTTCCAAGAAACCAAAAGAGCAAAGTCCTAGGAACACCAAGAGCAAAGTTACTGGCTGTTACTGAACACACAACATTCTCCTTACTGTATTTCTGACCAGTCTAACCCCCTTATCACCTTGATTGTTCAAGAGATTAGATGTTTGGAGCAGGAAAGTAGAAATATCCCTTTTCTACAACACTGCCATGCTGTGAGGACTGACAGCTTTTTGGACCAAACTGAATGACTGATGAGGGCTCACAGAGCTGGCAGGCCTACAAAATACCTATTTTTTTCTGGAATACTCATTGGCTGCCAGATTTGCAGGGTGTTCATCAAATGAGAGCAGTTTCATGAAGAGAGTTTATCAGACCTGGCTACTGGGGTTCTGGCTTTGGGGTGTTGGTGCTGCCTCTACTCACTACACTTCAACTATAGATTCTCAGGAAAGGGCTTGCTTTCCTCATTTTTATGTTCCTTCTCTTTCTGTAAGATGCTTCAGCTTCATCTTCCCACTGGAAGATCATCACAGTGATTCTGGGGGTCCTCTTTTTGGCAGCTTTGGGTGACCTTTGTAGTCAAGGGTAAGTGCTTATGGGAATGCCATCACAGGTCTAATTCTAGAATTAATGTCCTTTAAACATAATACAGAGTGACTTCACTGAAAATAAAGAGTTATTTTCTGTTTAGGGTTTTGACAGAGAGCAGGATGCAGTCTATAAATATGCTCTGAAACACTGAAAATCATTTGAAATAGCCCTTCTTCCTGTAAGGATACTAAATCCTGTTTTTCTAAGATGAATAAATGCACAGTTTGGTCACATCACCCCTGACCTGTGTCTGAATATTCAAAGGATGGAAAGGAAACATCTGGTTGAAATAGAGAAGTAGATCTACCCATTGCCTGTGAAAGTTCCTTGTAAGGGTTGCTTTGAGTCTGCAGACTCAAAGCAGTGTGTTTTCTACAAAGCTGTGTGTTATCTAAGATGAAAAATGATATTGTAGATATTGTATCTGTTAAAGACTTTGGAGTTCTCGGTCATGAAAAAAAGGATAAGGTGTATTCATGATTCCTTTACAGATTGTTCCTGCCTACGCTGCCCTGACCAGTGGGTAGGTTACAGAGGCAGCTGTTATTTCTTCTCCTGTTCCAGCCGGGAGTCCTGTTCTGCACAGTTCTCATCTTTTGGTGATCAGCAATGCTCAGGAAATGGTAAATACCCATGAACCCTGACCTGAGAAATAACAAGCTTCTTAACAGGGCTACTGGGAGATGTGAAGATTTTGAGTCATATACGGTGTTAGGACCCAGAGGCTTCAATAGTACTGGCGCTTGGCAAGAAACCAATGTCTGTGCAACCCAGCAGAAATTTGACAGACAGGTCACCCTGACCGTGACCTGTCCCTGGCAAAGGAAAAGAAGAAGTCTGGGAGTACCCTTGTTGGATGACCAAAGTCAAAACAGGAATTTGCATAAGGAACTGGTCGTGGGAAGGTTTAGAGTCATATAAGGTTATGGGGAAGCAGAATCTGTGCTGTAGCCCTGCAAAGTAAGGGAAGAATAGACATCTAGTACAGCACAATTTACCCATTTCACTTGTAAAATTGACAAGTGTATAAAGCACCACTGTGAAGAATTGGGGTCCACCTACCTCCTTTATGGTGGGTTAGGACTTCCCTCCTCACCCCCATAACAGGGGATGTCCCCTGCCTGCCAATTCCCAGTTCTTCATGAATACTGACAACTATCCCTTGCACTCCCTGGACTACTGACCCATCTGAAATTGTTCATCTGACTGAGCAGGCCCAGGCTGGAATTGGACCCTGGAGTCTCCATTCAGTGCTTTCAAACACAGTAGTATTTCACTCCATCACATTACATGGCTCTGTTTTCTGACTGGGGTTGAAAATGCAGGTGACTCT